TATGTAAAGGTACAAGTTCCCAATGAGAAATGTAATTGTGTTGTATACCTAAAATGTATCAATAAAAGAATAATAAAAAAAAAGAAAATGTAAGTTTCAGACTGATTTTCATAAGAAAGTTAGAAAATTCACTGTTTAATAGTTCCTACTTAGCAAAGAATTCATCTTCCGTATTCTTATAAAGCAGCTTTTCTCTGTGTTATCAATAAAAACTAACACTAACCTTCCTCCTGGAAGGTTAAACTTCTAGCTTCTGTTTGAAACGCTAGAGTGCCTTTTCTCAGAAGAAATGCTACATATACATGCCGCAAGCAAGGAAAAAGAATACATCATCACTACGACCCTTCATTAGTCAGAGGATCTTGGCAAAAGCAATGCTACTTGTACATGGTCTCTGCAAGAAAAAATGTTTTCAAAGGTAACCTTGCCAAGGGCTATGTTCTGTCTTGGCAAAAGGAAGCAAACTTTACTTTCCTACCAATCGGTTTGCTCTGCATGAGAAACAGGTGTTAAGGTACGAAAACGGGGCTTGGAGCAGTAGCAAAATAAAACTTACTCAAAATAAGTTTCATCTGGAAAAAAAAAAAAACACAACTCACATAATAAGCCTGCAGGACTGACATGTTTTTGCAAAATGCAAATCATGAAAACTGGTTAAGGGATTAAATGCTCTTTTGCAAAAATGACCATGGAGATTATAATCATTAATTAAAATCATGTAAATAATTTTCTGAAAGAACTCTCCCTTTTTATCTCATAGGTTTCAAACAGCCTAATGGTAAAAAGGTTTAGTCTCAGAAGAGATTCTCTAATTAAAACTAGGAATCTGGTATAATTAATAAGAGTCAGCCTGCAATCTTAACCACTTAGTAAAGGCAGAGAAATCAAGTTACTAATGTTTTATAAAAAATAAAATGAAATAAAATCTCCAAGAAAATGAAACTTTCATATGGTTGGTCTACTTGTTATCAATACAGCAGGTATCCCAAAGACTAGAAAGTTGTAATAGTAGATGAATGTTTTTAACACTTTCAGCTCCTATATGTCAGTTTTATTCATTTTTATTTTCTTTTTGCAGTTGCAACTTGACCCAAAATTCAACTTTCAGTGATTTAATTTTGGCTTACATTTATGAATTGACTAAGCTCCTTGATTCTTTACCTTTTCCCTCATTATTATCTTCACCCAAAGTTGAACCAGACCAAAAATGACAAGATGAAAGTCAAACCTATCAATTTCAAATTTTGATTATATCATCTGGCATAGTTCCTACATCTTCCTTCCCTGCACTTGATGTCCAATTCTGTGACAGCTTTTGAGTCTACAAGTCTAATTTTACCCCAAGTAACAGCTCAAAGAGCATCGTGAAGAAATTTCTATCAGGCATTTATTATAAACCTTTGTCTCATTGTCACTGGTCTCCCTTCTCTATCTCACAGCCTCTAACTTCTGATAATCCATGGGGATTAGCAGAAGTTGACTCCACCCTTGCACCTAGGATTAGAGCTCTGAGCCTAGGTGAAGTCAATCACCCCATCCTTTCAGCCCTGCCACTGTACTAACCTGATGTCCAGGCAAAGTTTGTCTTAGGACTTTTGTGAGAACTATGTGAAACATCAACATATGCTTTTTGTTGTTCGATACTGGGTGGTACCTAGATGTAAGGCTACAGGAACCCTGCTACCACCAGAGAGGTCAGCAACTTTGCAAATACTGAAGAAGACAAGACAAGAAAACTCCATGGGGCTGCTAAATTAAGGAACATTTGAAGCCCATCCAACTTCTGGGCCTCTATTTATATGAGCCAATTAAGTTTATGATTCAACTAGTATGAGCTGCTTTTGTTACTTGCAATATAAAGAAGCCAATTAATGTAATGTATACAAGTCATTCAACTCAATTATGTGTAAGATTACAATATATTGCAGTAGAGATAAATACACTGTTCAGAAACCCTTCAAAGAGGAACTTGCTGCCACTGTGGGTTTAGGGAAAACAGGCAGCCTTAGCTGTTGGCTCCTTCAAGGTCGCCTTGTCTATAGAGAGCCACTTTATCCAACCAATGGCCTACAACAGTGCAGGCTGAGACTACTGAAAGTACTAAAGCCTTAGAGTACTAAAAGTTCATCTATTTCATCTGGAAGCAGGACATCCCAACATGCACAACATACTTCAGAGCACCCCACAAGTTGGCCAAGGCATTTTTGTGCCTGTATTACAGTTTGAATTTTACCCCTGCCGAATTCTTCTTTCTTCACATTTTCTTTCCTAGAAGCTGATTCCCCCAAATTTATTTTAACTCTCAATGTTCATCTCCATAGCAACTTCCAAATAATCCAGCCTTGATAATCTGTCCAATTTTACATTATAAGAAAATGAGAAAAGAAAGTCGATTCAATACCTGGGAGATATCATTTAAGAAAATTCCCCATCAAATCCTTATAAGCAAAATGTATAACATGCATTTTAATTGGTCCCACTCTTCCCTCTTTCAATCTTTCTCTGACAATACAAGAAGGTGTTATTTCATACACTGGAATGGTATAATTAAGTTTTCTGTGATCTTACTTAAAATTGACAAGGCATGTGAGCAATGTAATACTTCTCATAAGTCACCAGTTTTTCATGTGCTTTTTAACAATTTTAAATGTTGTAACAACAATCCTTTTCTTATTATTACTCCTTTTCATTTTGTTTTTTTGGGTTTTTTTGATACTGGGGATAGAACTCGGGACCTTGCACTTACGAGGCAGGCGGCAGAACCACTGAGCTAAATCCCTGGCCATTGCTCCCTTTTATTAAAGATGATTCGATATATAATTGAGGTGAGATTTTTAAGTAGGTGATGAGAAATATATGCTGTTCAATCAAAATTTGCCATGAAGCAAATTTTTTTTAAGTGAATCCCATTTTTTAATTAATTGTTATTGTAAAGTTATAGGTGAACTAGTTGAATAACAAAATGATTACACCTGGGAATGTAGGTTTTCTTTAAAATTTAAATAGCTAAAGGTATAAATGACTTTGATAAAACAATCACTTAGGTATTCTATTCTCCCTGCCTCCTCAAAACCTTTCTTACTCTGGGCACCAAAGTTATTTGTAATACAAAATCCATAGACAATCAATAATGTATTTTTGTTGACCTCTTTAAAGCAATATCATTCAATTCACTTTATCTTTCTTTGATTTCTACGATACAATGTTCTTTCAGTTTTATACTTACTTTTTTGCCTCTATATACCTTCCAAGCTTGTTTTCTACCCAGTCATCAAAGGATATCCTTTATGTTTTGGTCCAAAGGCTATTTACCTTCTTTTTCAGTAGCTATTTCTGGTGTTCGTAACTATACTCATGTCTATCTAAAGTAGTAACTAATACACAGACACAAAATCCATTTATACACAAATAATTTCAAAGGAATATCCCAATGGCATCTCATATTCCATATCCCCAAGTGGACTTCTGACAGCCCTCTGTCAAGTTGCCTATATCAGATGAGTGATACAAGCACTCTCCCCTTTATGACAAACTAAAGCCAAACAGTCTTACATGACATTTTTTCTCTGTTCCCCCAAATCTAAACCCATCAAGTTCTGTTGGTTCTGTCTTTAAACTATATTTGAATTTTTCAACTTTTCTCCACCTCTGGTGATACCCAACATCCAAAATGTTCTGATCTCTCGTTTGGAATGCAATGAGCTTCTAAATGGTCTAGCTGGCCTGTGTTTACAATTCATACTCCCTTAATTCAAAATTTCAGTGAAACTGCTGCTCTTGAGATAAAGACAAAAAATCTGACTATGGCTACAGGCCATGGATCTTCTGACTTTTGCCTCAGTTTCAACCTGCTCTGTGTTCTTTCCTCGCACCTGTACCTGGCAACTGGAACTTGCTTCCACTTTCACTCCTACCATGATCCCTCAGTACCTTCATTTCCCTAAATTCAGTGCTAACTACTCTTTCACACCCACTGTCAGGTAACTCCTGCTTTTTCCTTGAATCTCTGCTTAATCTACAACTCCTCAGAGAAGATTTCCATGGCCCTCTGATTTTGCAATTACCTCCTGATTATACGCTCTGATCCCCTAGGTCAATTAAAAGTTTTGCAAGTGTACATTTGTATTTGTTTGAGAAATCCCTTTCTTCTCTGTAGATTGTAAGCTCCTAAAAGGGTCGAGATATACAGCCTCTCCTAGCACTGCCCGGTTTACTTTTGGTTTTGCTCATCATTACACCTGAAATTCCCAACATGGTGCCTATTACATAATAGGCATTCAAATCTTACTTGGTAAAAGAATGACCAACTAATAAATATAAGCAGAATTTTTAATATTATAAGTAACACATAAAATTTTTAAAGAATTTGAATACATAAAACTGCAGATGGGTGTCATGGCACAAGACTGTAATTCCAGCACTCTGGGAGACTGAGGCAGGAAAATGGCAAGTTTAAGGCCGGCATGGGCAACTGACAGACTTAGTGAAACATCACTCAAAATAAAAAAAAGGGCTGGGGATGCTACTAAGTGTAAAGACCTTGGATCTCAGTACCTAACTAACTAAATTTATTTTTAAAAGGGCTGGGGACATAACTCAGTGGGAAAACTTTTGGTTCAATCCCCAGTACCATCTTCACACACACACACACACACACACACACACACACACACACACACACACATAAAGCTAATGTTTTGATAAATTATTGGTATCTTAAAAATCCTTTTTTACATTTATAAGTTTGAATATGGCACATCTAATGAGAGCTTTCACCCTCAGTCTTCTACACCTTCTTTCTTCCATTTCCTTTTGCCAGGTGGGCCTTCCTGAGCCCATCCAGACAGCACAGATCAAGACCAGCGTTTCCATGTTGCTTCCCCTGACTTCAGAACTGAGCTGTCCCCATCTTTTCAGCAGAAATATTTCTTACAGCAAAGGCAGGAAAACATTTTTTCCAAAGGGCCTGATACTAAATAATTTAGTTTTGTCTTTTTCAGATTATATGATCTCTATCACAATGACTACTTTAACACTGTAGCATGTAAGGATCCACAGACAACAGGTAAATGAAGGAGCATGATTGTATTCTAATAAATCTTTACTTATAGATAATAAATTTTAATTTAATTTACTTTTCATGTCATGAAAAACTCTTACTTTTAAAAATATATATTTCAACTTTTGACAATATAAAAGCTAGTTTCAGCTTGTGGGCCATAAAAAAACAGGTGGTCTGTGTAGTTTGTTGACCCCTGTCATGTACAACACACCAGGAGTTCTCAAAGTACACATCTTGCAGTTTTTATTATACAAGGTTTCCAAGTGTCTGGCCTTATTTTGTAGGTTGTTAAACATTAAAACAACAGTCATACAAACACTCACCCTTTTTATATACTCAGTGAGTTAATTAACTTGTGCCACCAAGGTTTTTATTTTTGTTTCTTTTTCTATGATGGAGGATGGACATTCAAAAGAAATTCTTCTCTTGCTATCTTGATTTAACTGAAAATTGTCACAATGTGACTTAGCAAAACAAATTGTTTTTAATGAACAAAACCATCCTCTCTACTATTACTTATCTGTGTGAAGCAAGATTTTTTCCCCCAAAATGTGTAACCTAAACAAAATAAAGAAACAAACAGAAAGCTGAGGTAACACTGCATTGGAGCTGTTATCCAAAGTATACTACACAAAACTAGTGACAATAATAACAATAATTAACAGTGAGTCATTACCAGAGACCAGTCCCCTTTGCTACTTAGTCTCATTTCTTGAATAACTTCTTGAGTAACTGTTACACTCATTTGAAGCTTGTGTAACAAAATTACAGTAATAAAATAGCACATTTCTCTGTTTTCTGTTTGCTGTTTTGCATACAAGTTGATTTGTTAAGGAAGGTTTCACTTTTAGTTTATTTTTTTCTTTAATACACCACCCATTTGAGCACTTTAGAGCAGCTTCTTATAATTATTAGTTGCTTTTCTACTATTTGGTTAACATAAACCTTGGTTCTTGACAACAACGATGGGACCTTATACTTTCTCTCCACTGTTTATATATAAAACATGCACCTCATTTACTCCCTTACAACAGAACTTGGCAGAGAAGACCCCCAGGAAATGGACTGCTGCTTACAGAAGTGATGTTTTAACTTATTTTATGAATTCCTTACATCTGTGTTTTGTGTGAATGCCTTACAGTTAAATGGAAGTACCTGTAAGAATCCTTGTAAATGGACTATTTTTAATATACACTAATATTTACATTATATTGCAATTTTAGTAATATGAAGGTAGCAAAATAAAATATTTAGTTTTACTAAAACTAAACCTAATCTATAGTAACATGTTTACTTATGTTAATTTAGGTGTTGGGGACTTCTGCCTAGAAAACACAGTATCTCTCCTCTTTATATTGTGGCATTAGCTTCGGCACTGTTCTACCATCTACTAGGCTGAGAAAAATTGTGACTTCAGACATCAAGTCTTTTTGTTCCACATAAACTTACTTGAATGTACCACCAAAAATTTACAAGGGTCTTTCTTGTGATTAAAAATCAGATAAGCTCTACAAAGTTTCTCCCTGTTAGTCCATGTCTGGATTTTTTTCCCCTAAAGACCTTGAACATGCCAGGAAAAGATAGGCATAATGATAGTACACAACACTCCACCTTCAGAAACTAGAGGGTGAGGCTGGGGCTTAGAAGATCTATATTTATTTAAATATGAAATTTTCAAAATTTGGAGTGGTTTTCTTTCTCCTGTGAAGAACTATTTACAGCTCAGAGTAAACACTTTCCCTAAAATGAGTGTACAAAAGATCTCTTCAACTGGATACCTGAGGGATGAATGTTTCCCAAAGGAACAGAATGAAAATAAACAGTAACTCTTAGATTTATGCATACTGTTAGGATGTGCATCATATTTTGAGAATTTGGTTATTTCTGTTATTTCCAATTATAAAACACTATGAATTGAGAGATTATTATATCCTATCTCCAATTTCCAAATTATTAAAGATAGACTTAATCTGTAATTACCCAGAGAATCAAAGAGAGAAAGATAGCATTCTTAAACCATTTATTATTTGTCTACAAAGAACAAAGTATTAATAATTAAAAATGTAACCTTGTGTATGCAAGATTACTTATCTCCCTACTATTCCCATACATATTTTGCACATAATTCTAACTACACCTCCAGGAAAAGTAAATTAAGATTTAATTTCATAATTTATTAACAAAACTGGTAAATATTTTACTTTTGAAAAATATGTAATTTTTCTGCATGTTTCTAGCCATAGTCAATTGTTATGAGAATGTTCTCACTAAAAATTTTAACCTACTTTCAAAAAGTTTAATTCAGTAAATTAGTGCAAATAGTTATTTTTCACTGGAACTACTGCCCCCCTGAGTTGTATAAGAAAACTTACTCCTCCCCTCTACTGCATTTTGCCAGTAATTTGCTTAAAGAAAAGTAAAACTTTGAGAAAGCAAAATCAAATCTACTGACGTGCAGCATTAAAATGATTATCAAAGATGATTTTCTTTGAATTTATAATATAAGGAACGCATCTTGAAAAGCTGAAAAGGCAATCTACACTGTTAGATATTCCCTGAGGGTCAGTAATGAAAAAAGTATTAAACAATACAATGTTTAGTATCTTAGAAAACTTTCCTTTTCTACCCATTTCAATTCACAGTCCTACACTGACAGTTTTAACATCTTTTGATTTAGTCATTTTACTACATTTATATTTGTAAAGATTATATGCAGAACTCAGAGTTAAGTGGGTGGATCTGTCTAAGGCTAAGTATAATACAATAAGATTTAAAATCTTTAACTCAGTAGGGTGTCTATGTTTTATTCTAATGCTTAACTTTACTTCAAGATTTAAGGTAAATGTATGATAATGTGGAATGAAATAGAACATGATTTAAAAAAATATCAGAGCCACTAAATACTTTGAAAATCACTGGAGCTAGAACTCACTGGCACTTATCATAATTCTTAATTTTAAGTGTCTGTATTCCTTTTTGATGTTCCTCAATAACTTGCTCCAAAACATCAGCATAAAGTTTATAGTATAAAAATCAAAATCTGCACTTGCTCATAAGATGGTTGTACAGTTAAGACCTTGAACTTAAACTTTAAATGTTCATTTTACTATAGAATAGGCACAAAACCCAATATGTGGCATATGGAAGAGGTTTTTTTCAGGCATTTTTTTTGGTGCAAATTAAGCTCATTGTCACTAGCTAGTTTAACAAGATGCAAGAGTAAAATACACAAGGGAAAAGCTATTAGGCACAATTTAAGAAATCATCTCTTTAATAAAAAAGGATAAAATTGTGTATCTCTGTATATCACAGATCTAGAAACTTGACTAAATCCTGGTAAACTCAATGATTTAATGAGGGAGGGGCAACTCCTAATATTATGAGATCACGTTTCTGTTATACACATACCAGCAGGAAAAGTACCTAACACTGTGTAAACCAGTGTGCACTTTGGAGAAAACAACTTCAGAAAATTTCTCCATTGCTCAACCCCTCCCTTCATCATATTTCAAGAAAAGTATAACTATTTTTAAAGTCCATTTTGCTTATTCATATAGACAATATTTAAAAGTTGTTTCACATAGAAAAATGGATCTGTGGTTCAATAACACAAAGCTGCAAATGTGTTGCCACTGCTTTGTTGGAGATAATTGAAAATATATTTTTTATAATTGAAAATATATTACTTTTGATATGAGAGCAGTGGGCACTCATATACTGCTTTAAAAATGTTACTCATTGAGGCTGAGGCATGAGGATTGCAAGTTTGAGCCCAGTCTAGGCAGCTTAGTAACTCTGTGAAACCTCCTCACAAAATCAATCATTTTAAAAAATTATAAAGAACTAGCTATGTAGTTCAGTGTAAGGGCCATGGGATCAATTCCCAGGTTGCTAAAAAAGCCCCAAAATTACAACAACAAAAACCCCCGAAGAGTTACTTTCCAAATCATTAGTCCTGAGGACTAATTTTTACATGAATTACTATTATTAGGAAAGTTATGGAAGTTGAATAAAAAATGAAAATAATTTTTAAAGATTTATATCAAAATAGAAAGAAACAAGGATGGGAAAAGGAAGCAAGTGACCTTTTAGGAAAAAAGTCAATGCTTATCCTGGTGTGTGAATTTCTTATTCATTTTATCAAATTATTTCAATATTGGCAGGGAAGCAATACTCCTAATCATCATACTAAGGAAAACAAAACTTGTTTCTCTGGCCAAACATAATAATGGGTATATTTAGCTTTCCTATTTTATATACTGAGTCTTCAAAAAAGCAAATAATGTCAATTTATAACATTCATTTTGTTTTGTTTTGTTTTGTTTGGTACCGGGGATCGAACTCGGGTCCCTGCACTTGCGCAGCAGGCGGCAAAACCACTGAGCTAAATCCCCGGCCCTATAACATTCATTTAAAAAAATCATAACATGTTACATTTTTACATCTAAGTGGGTACATTTTTCTCCCTACTAATGTTGTTTCTGTGTGTCTACCAGGACTCTACATTTGAAGATCCCAAAGCAACTTTTACAAATATCAGATAACAAAAATTGTTTATTTCAAATATGAGAATAAAGAAAGAACTAAGGACAGAAATCAACGGGAACATTAGATGCTTTCTCTTCTAATATGTGGTATTTATTTAATCTTTATCATACTGTTAGGAAGAAAGAGCGAAAATGGTATTTATGCTCATTACATGGGGAAACTCAAGCTACATATGATTTAAATAAATTATTTTAGTAAACTACTAAAAATAAATTAAATAAGTCTTCTCCAGTCCTCATAAACTTTACATAGGGTAAATAAAATGATGAGCTAATTAACAAAAGGTTGGCTAGCATCTATCTTAATAATTTCCTGATAATTGAGAAGTTTTCTGTTCCTTCACAAATCTTAACATTATTTGGTATGATATGAATATATGATGTCTTAGGAACCTATTATGTACAATTTAGCTTTGTTGTTATTAGGCCTGAGGTAATAAATGGCAATGTAGGGCCAG